GCAGATAATAGTAGCTAATCAGAAAACTAAACTGTAAGGACTTGTTGATGAATAGAAAACTACTACAGTTAACTTCATTTTGGCCTTTTTTAGCATTTTTCAATTTTTTTTTGAAGTTGAGGAGGCTATAAATTTTTTCTAATATGATATAAGTTAACAAAAACCAGTATTTTTAACACAGAACTACCCAGAAAACACTTCTAGAAAAAATGAGCCGCTTGTTGAAATATAGAAAAAAGTTATGAGGCAGACTACTTTAACATTAAAGTAGTCTGTTTTTACAATTCTTAAATTTTACAATTCTTAAGGGGGGCCATTGCGCATTGTATATGAAGCTATATTCTCTGAACCGTTGCACTTGGAAGTCTGAAATTTCAAATTTAACCTATCTACATAATGTAGATAATGATATGTAAAAATCAGCAAATTCTGAGATGGTGCCCCACAGCCCATTGGTTGAAATTTAATGATTTGAACCATATAAATATATATATATATATATATATATATATATATATATATATATATATATATATATATATATATATATATATATATATATATATAAATATATATATATATATATATATATATATATTTATGTATATATATATATATATACATATATATATGTATGTATGTATATATATATATATATATATATATATATATATATATATATATATATATATATATATATATATATATATATATTTATATATATATATATAATATCTACCCGAGTGACGCCGTACCACCACGTTTATATGTAGTAATTAAAGCCCATAAGCCTGAAAATGGTTACCCAATAAGATTAATTGTAAGCACCATTGGTTCACCTACATATAGCATCTCTAAATATTTAGTCTATATGGTACAACCAACTCTAAACTTAAATGAAACTCGCTTAAAAAATTCTTAACAATTTGTGGATACAGCAAGACTATGGGAAATCGATCAGAACAAGGTTCAGATCTCCTTTGATGTTGTTAATTTGTACCCTTCGGTCCCGATTAAATAAGCAATCATTATACTAGTTGAAAGATTAAGAAACAACCAGAGCTTTATATCTAAGTTATCTTTTGAAGAAATCAGGCTACTTTTAGAAGTATATTTTTTAATATAAATATATGTAAATATATTTAAATATATAAATATATAAAATATTCGGATCGTGATTTGAATGCGGTTTAATTTGAATGTTAGCGATTGCGTCTTTTCTATATACTTATTTTAAGAAAGTTAAGATTATATCAAGAAAGTTAAGCGCTTTTGTTTCGTTTTCAACTTCAATTGTGTATTGCAGGATGTTGTTGATTTAAAATATCTTGGAACTATTTTGCTTGTTTGATCTTAGGAAATCATGCATAACTATCGTCAACGTATCTTAAAAATGATTTTAGATCAAGTGCAGGATTAAAATGCTTTTTTTTTTTTAATTTGATATTGCACACCTTCTTATTTGGTGAGGTTCAATAAAAAAAGTTAACAGATATTTTTTTTTGCAATCTGATGTAATGGTCTCCCACACCTGCTTTTTTAACTCCTTTAGAACCCCGCTTTTATCTAAAATTACATATTTCTAAAATGTATTAAAAATCAGTTAGTGTCAGTGTAACATGCATCAATTTTACTTATTAGGGTTATAAAAATTGTAAGAATGTATATAGCAATGACCTTTTCCGAGACTCCACCCTAGAAATGATATGTCCCGGACCCGTTTTTTAAGCTCTTTTGAGACCCGTTTTATAATCAGCTTGTTTCAGTGTTACATGCATCAGTTTTACTTATTAGGGTGATAACAATAAAACAAATGTACATAGCAGTGACCTATTCCCACACCCCACCTTCAGGGTGCCAGGACCCGGACCTTTTTCTTATATCCTTTTGAGACCCGTTTCTTTTAAAAATGATAAATTTCTGCAATGTATTAAAACAAACTATTGCCCGTGTTACATGCATCAGTTTTACTTATTAGGGTGACGACAAGTGTAAGAATAAATATAGCAGGGGTAACTTGGGGCAAGGGAAAAAGGGTAAAAATACAAAAAGCTGTTATAAGTACTTAAAAAAGGTCCTTTTTTAACAGTTCATCAGTTTTTTCAATAGTGAATACCAGTGGCCCATATGTTCCTAATGGTGTCCCTCTACCAGCCATTTTTACCTTAGCCATAATCGAAATTTATAAATTTAAAAATAGCAAAAAATATTGTACTCAAATGAAACTTTAAAAAATAATTAAAAATTTTCTTATGCCTTAAAGAAAACATATTACATATAACAAACTTTAAAAATATTTGGATGAAATAACATACATAATTTAATCAAACCTTGACATAACTAAATTAAAACATAACAGAAAAGCAATAGCCATGTATTAATATTATTATTATAATGTATTATAATAACTATATATTTAGTTCATATTATATGTATATATATATATATATATATATATATATATATATATATATATATATATATATATATATATATATATATATATATATATATATATATATATATATATATATATATATATATATATATATATATATATATATATATATATATATATATATATATATATGCATATTTGAATAGATTTAATTGTTGTTATTTGGAATGATTATGGCTCAACTGTTTCTTTGTAGTTTCAGTTGAAAAATGTTTTTTATGATACTCAACTACTTGGAGAAGCTGACGTTGATTGTCATTTTTTTTTCAAAACTTCATTAAAGTCAGTGGCTAATTTAACTGCCCTTTCTGCACAGCCATTAACCACTTTCATGGCACGAACTATCTTACAAGCAGTCTTGTAGTCATCACGATATGCCCAAGTTTTAGGAGACGATGTCAAGAATTTATATGGTTAGATTGAGAGAGTCAAACAAATTCATTGAGTGTCTTGTAACAAAGTTAGTTATAGAAAATTTAGAGAATGTATAAATATTATTTAGAGCAAGTCTTCTATTGTCACTTGGTAATGATTCTTTTTGTAAGGCATATACAATTTCCATTTTCTCTTCAACAGAAATTTTATTATTGAATAATGAGAGAGCAGCTAGACCTTCACTTAAATTCCATAACTAAAGTTTAATTTTATTTTTACAATATTTGCAACTTTGCTGTCAACTTAACAATAGTTCTCGATTACTTTTAAAAGAAGGAGATCATTTTTTGGTGCTTCTGTTGTGAGAGGTTCTGAAAACCAGAAACATGCATATATTGTGGTTATGAAGAGACATATTCTTCTTAAAATCCCAATTTCTTTCTCTGTGATATTTAACTGAGGACGAAAACTAAAAAATTTTAAACAGTATATACCTTTAGCCATCTATCTTTCACGATGGTAAGCCCCAGGAATGCAAATAGTTGTTGTATTATTATTTTCTCACAAAAGCTAGTCTTCCAAACTTTTTATAATCATCACGCGGTTGCGTTTCTTTATGTTATTCAGAGCGCCTTTTTTCTTCAAGCTCGCGTTTTCTGTATTTTACAACTTCTTTCTTATACATTATATCTTCTGATGTCATTAACATCTTTTGGGAACCTCTCTGGTCTATCAAAAAAAATTTATTTTCATTTAACTTGATGAGACAATCCCAATAACCATGGGTAATATCAAAAACTGTATTTATCTTGGCAGTGAATTTTTCTTAATAGCTATGTTGAGTAGCTGATTTTCCACTTTTGTGCATAGACACTTGAACATATTGGTTGTGAATACTCTTTAGTATAGTAACTAAATGAGGCTTTGTTATAGTTGGAATATTAGCCTTAAGCCAGAAAATCATAACTTCATCTGCAACTGTGTTGCAGGATATTGAAAGAATTGACTTTTTGATTATCATTTCATAAAAAACTCTACATAGGGCAACAACACTTGTAGGGCGGTCCCGTGGGGGGAGGGCATAGGGGTGTCTAGCTCCCCTACGAGTTTTATTAGTCGGCAAATTGGACACTGGAGTCGGCAAAATTGGATTTATAGTTGGCAGTTAGCCGAAGATTTTATTTCGAAAAAGGACAACCGGTGACAAAAATTGGCTAAAAAATGGCCCCTAAGCATAAATAAGTATTGCTAAGCAACTGGGGTTGTCATGGCAACCACAAAAAAATCATGCTCATTATTCAAATTATAATCATCCAGTTACTTTATATACCAAATTTTGAGGCCTATGCATGAAAGGAAAAAAAGTTATGACTTTTTTCCAAAAATATGGGATTCTGGCCCACTGTGTGTGGGCCTAAGTAAATGAGATAGCTATATTCTATAGATGTCTTCTTTACTAAAACTATTTTTTTCGAAAAAAAATCTTAACATCTTTTTAGAACCTTAAGGTTGGCTCCGAAATTAAAAACTTTTTAGCAATGAAAATGTTTGTTGTTAAAAGTAATGTTGTTAGTCCGACGAATATTTTAATCCGATTATGCGCGTTTTTAGTGGAATTGCTGATTATGTGTTAGAGATTATTGAAAATGTTCATAATAAGAATAGTTATAATAATAATAATAGCAGTAATAATAATAATAATAATAATAATAATAAATAAAAACTTTAATAAAAAATTTTTATATTATTTTAAGAATATATTTTTAAAAAATTTAGTATAGTTTATAATTTTATATACCATAACTTAGATCGCATTAAATTATAAATATTTGTTTTTAATTTTGATTTAGTATTGTTTGAACTTATTTATGGTTTAAAAATATTGTTTAAAATTTATGATTCGATCTTCATTTTTTTTATATTTTAAATGATTCAAAGTCGTTTGCTGCCAACTTGATATTATGTAAATTTGTAAAAGTTAAATAGTTTTTTGTTGACAAATTAAAGTGATATATGTGAAGTTAAAATTATAAAACTATGTATGGTTTAAATAGTATTTAAAAGGAAACTGAACATACATTAAAATGTTAAAAGTTTTCCAACTAATGACTTACTATCATTCTTATGTTTGATAAAAATATTTGTTTTATACATAAGTTTTCTTTTTTCAGATTTATAAAATAATTATATCAATTTTATTAGTGTTTGGCTCAGAAGTTATTAACCCATTTTCTATATTTACTAATTAAATGTGTTTTTTGGACTTTTAAAGTTGATAATCAAAAACATAAGCTCATGAACTCATTTTCTTATATAGATGGGTTGGTAGGTTGATCAATAGCTGAAAATGTTTTTTTCTTGGTAAGTAAATATATTTTAAATTTAGAATTAAACTTTTCTTTATCTTTTTTTTTCTTTAACTAATTTGTCTTTCTTATTTGCATTGTTTACAATATTTGTTTTTCTTTATTGGGTGTCATTTCATAATATCAGTTTGAATACTATTGTAACCTGAGAAAAATAATCTTTTATAAAACAAATGAGTTTGTTTAAAAATTTTATAGTCATATTAAATTTTTCTTTTCTGAATTAAACTAAACAATGTTTTTATACAAGAATGTACTTCCTAAAAATAACAAATTCTGACAATATTAAGTGAAAAATTTTGTACAAAATGTAATGTTTATTACATTTGATGAGTTGAAAATTTTGAAAATTTTTCAAAGTAAGCATTTTAAAAAGAATCTCAATTATTAGAATAATAAGATAAAGTACTTTAGGTATTATTAGTAATGTATGAAAAATATATAAAATTTATAGAATATATTGCAAGCTTAAAATTGATTCAAATGAAACTGAGCAAAAAGTTAATGTTTTTTTCAAACTTTTTAAATTTGTTTTTGTTGTGCATCATAAGTTTGCACAATAACAAATAAAAGTTTAAAAATTTGATGCATTTTTAATTACCTTTTAATTATTTCACAACTATTTTTAATTACTAGTGATAATATATTATCAAAAATTATTTTTAATCTACTAATACTGATAAACAGCTACTGTGTTTAAGCATTTGTTATATATATATATATATATATATATATATATATATATATATATATATATATATATATATATATATATATATATATATATATATATATATATAACTTTTTCAATTAAAAGTTTTTTAAGTTTTATTAATTTCTATCTTTAAAATATTTAAATTTTTGTTATGATATTTATATGGATTTTACATAAATGTTTTTACTATTTTTATTGTTCACATATAATTTTAAAAGTTTTTATTTACTTATTCATAAAATTGTGTTACAGAAATATTTAAATATTCAGAGAAACAAATATGAAATATTTAAAAGTTAATATATTTCCTACTCGAATCAAACATTTTTTAACGTCAACTAGTTTAATGCATGCATCAGCTTTAATTATTTGTATTTTTTTTATTTTTATTTACTACTTTACTATTTTAAAATTTTAAAAAATATTTTATGGAGTAACATCTAAAACATAAAAAACACAAACAAAACAAAGAATTCTAATGAATGAATTCTTGATAGCTCCAAAGACTTGGGCTGAACATGTTGTCAATGATTGTGCAGAAAGGGCTGTCACACAAAACTGGCTTCAATGAAATTTTGAAAGAATGAAGTATATGTCAGTTTTTATACCAGTACCAAGTAGTTATTAAAGGCTATTACCATTAAAAACATTAATTAACTAATAATAAAAAGAAGCAATATATATATATATATATATATATATATATATATATATATATATATATATATATATATATATATATATACACAGAGCGAGAGACAGCGACAATTAAAAAGAAGTGACATTATTTTATATTTATAACTAAAGTAAATCAAAATAAATTAAGTTAATACAAAGCAGTATTTATATATTTTTTATAAATAAAACTACATATTTTTTACAACTAAGTTTTATTTCGAATGCAATCATCAGATTAAAAAAATGTTTTTTTTTTTTGTGGGAAAATAATTTTGTGCATGAGAATAATGTTAGAAAAATCTAATCTTTTGGTTTGTGGTTATCCAGCAAATATTTGTTCTCACGGGGACACTTGGATATTAGTTTACTTGTTTTGTTTAATAATTCTTTGGGATTTTTATACAATTAAATTTTCAGTTTTTTGTATAAGCATAATAGACATTTTTTAGTTATGTTGTTGTAGGTGAGAGCGCTCTATGTATGTTTTGTTTATAAATAATATAGTTTATATGTAGTTTATATAGTCTAATATGTAGTTTTATTTTAAAAATGTATGTATATCTATTATAGTGTATATAGATGAGCAATAATTTACTCATTTTTAATATCATTGGTGCATACAGCAAGAAAAAAAAAATTTCTTTGCTTTATATTGTTACTTTACTGTTTTCCCCATATATCTTATGATAATTTTATGTTTTATCTTACATTCTGCTATTCCCCTTTTGCTATTTAATTTTGTTTCAGATTGATGTATGAAAATATACTACTGAATCAACATTGTAAAAGGAATGGCAACCATTCAACATGAAAAATTTATACCTCCTTCAATGCCTATAATGCTTCATAAGGCATACAGTTGTTTTATTAAAGTTGAGATATTGGAAGCATCTGTTTCTTTTATTAATAAATTAATCAACAATCTTTTTCAACGTAATCTCATAGATCTTTCTCAGGATCTGAGAAAGGGTTTAAAGTTTACCTTGTCCACCTACATCCCAAATAGAGTTTACTCATTAGCAAATAAAAAATTAAACAATACAATGATTAGACCTGCTCCAGGTCTATAGAATTGCAATGAACAAGCATTTAACAATCTTACTCAATTTTAACTCTAATTTTATACATATTTTATCTTGCATGTTGCATTAAAAATTATTTTCATTGGAGAGTAATCATAATGTTATTATAAAAAGGCAAATAATGGGGGAGGCATTAGTATTCTTGATTAAGAAGACTATGAAAGAAAAATATTTAAACTTTTAGTAGATAAAAATTAATAAAGCCCTTAAAATAAGATCCTTATAATAGTATATGTAGATCTCTCAATAATCTAATTGACTGTATGGTGTCCCACCTCATTATTGATGGAAAAATGATAAAAAATTAAGACCAAAAATAACAGACAAATTTGGCATTTAATTTATTATAATAATTAAATAATAGTTTATAGTTTATTATTTCAAGTGTAGTTTAGGTAGGTTATTTCAAGGTAGGTTTCAATATTATCATTTAAATATGACATTAATTAAAGCAATTTTTTCAACCAGATTCCCATCTTGGTGTTAACCTTTTTTGCAGATTATGGCTAAAAATTTTCATTGTGATACCATCACTAAGAAGATTACGACCCAAGATTTACAAGCTCCTCTTAGCTTTACCCACAGGTTAACTTATATTATGAAGTTTTCCATGGTATGTTGCCTTTATCACAGATAATGAACCTTACCTGTCTTTTTCACAGCTAGTGAGTTTCACTTGCCCTAATTAATAAAGTTATATTACATGTGATTAACCTTAATGAAGTTATATTACATGTGATTAACCTTATAGGATCAGTTTATTATACTTCAACCAATTTAAAGAAAATATTGTGGGAAACTATCTCTGATTTTTGCTGATTTTTACATATTATTATATGCATTATGTATTATTATTGTATTATTATGTATTATTATGTATTACATGCATTATGTATAGATTAAATTTAAAGTTTCAGACTTCCGAGTTTAACAGTTTAAAAATTATAGCCTTATAAACACAACACAGTGGCCCCCCTCAATTTACAAATGGTTTTACTTTAGAGCCTTGAATTTTTTACTCACTTTCAAAAAGTGTTTCAATTTTTCTAGAATTGTTTTCTTGATAGTTCTCTTTAAAAAAGTGGTTCTTATAAACTTGTATTATATTAGAGAAAAATTACAATCCCAACTTTAGAAAAACCTGAAAATTGCTTAAATGTGCCAAAATGAAGTCACTGTAGTATTTTTTTATTTATCCACAAGTCTTTACAGGTAAGTTTTTTGATTAGCTACAACTGCCTGCAATAAATGGACAATATATAATCAGCTTGTTGCAGTTTAGAATTCAAATAAATCTAAAAGTATATTGTCCATTTGCCTAAAAAGTCCAATTTTCGGCCATTTTGAGATGCTTGTATGTTTTTCTAGTACTTGTTTTAATCATTAATAAAATTTTCTCCACTTGTGAGAATTGTCCCAAATATTATGAGTTGAAAAAGAATTGAATTTCCTGGTTGGGGGTTCACCTAATGAAATAACTTATAAACAATGGTTTATTAAAAAAACCTGAAAGCAAAAAAATATATTAAAAAATTTTTAATTGTTAATTCTTCATATAAGAATTAAATAAAGTAAAGATAAGTTCTTCATATTTTTCTAAAAATCTGCCAACTCTTTATCCATTTCTAGGGATAGATTTCCTTTTAAAGTCCTGATATCAGGGATGAGGATTCCTAAAAGGACTCCGGCTTGATATTGCTACTTTTTCCAAGTCTATAGTGTCCAGAAGTTCTAAACATGTTTGTTGACTTATGATCTGTTATAAGAAAAAAAATTCATGAGATTTAATGACTTGAAACTTATTATTTTTAAGCCCAGATTCCTGGAGTCCTTGGCTGCCATTATACCGAAGGACTCCGGGTTCAAAAAATGATTGTTTCTCTAAAAATTTAGACTAGAAGCCTAAATTTTTTTCCTATTAGTAGTTCATGAACTTATTTATATTTTTAGAGCTCCTAGATACCAAAAACTAGGAAGAGGTAATCTTTTTGTGACTTTCAAATCCGTAGTCCTTTTAGGGACTTCTCATCCCTGCCTGACATCATATATGAAGGTCTTTAAAAAGAAACCTTTCCCTAGAAAGTTAATTTTATTGTGTTATATCTGACAATCTGCTTCACAATACTGAGGGGGTCTTTAGTTATGTTTCAAAAATCAAAAGATCCATTATTTTACTGATGGTGCAAGCAGCCAGTATAAAAATAAGTAGATTAGTTTTTTAATCTACAATATTTAAAAAATTGTAATGAAGTAATTTTAACCAAATCATATTTGACTCTAAAAATGATGTTTTTCAAATTTGAGAAAAAAAAGAATCATTGCTGTCTGAATAGGTAATCTTTTTACTGGTTTAATTAAAAAAAACCTTTGTTTTCATAAAAAAGACTACGAATTTGAAGTTTGTCCCGAATTGAAATTTTGACACAATACATAGTGAAAGTGCATGTGATGGAGTAGATGGTACTGATAAAGAGTTGTTAATCAACTATTCTCTCAATAGCCAATTGAAAATCAACCTTTGACACATTAAGTTTCTACTGTAGTTTACGGGTAAAAATCATTAATACAATAAAAAATTTAGTTTAACAATTTAGGCCACTATTCCTTTAAACATTATCTTAGTTAATTCAATTCCATTATATTATGTCTATTTTAGCAGGATATAAAAACCTAATTTTCATTTCTCTGCATTAGTTAGGATTAAAAGGATCTTTGAAATAGTCAGGATTGAAAGAATCTCTAAATTAGTTAGGATTTTTAACCCATATTTTATTGTTTTCAATTAATTTTTTTAGTGTAGATTAACAAATCTAGAAGAAATTTATTGGTTGATATTTTTAGAGAATTACTCCATTTTAAATAGAATTACTCCATTTTAAATAGAATTACTCCATTTTAAATAGAATTACTCCATTTTAAATAGAATTGCATTTAAAAAGACTTGACAATAGAGAAGTAATATAAAATTCTAATCTGTTACTATAGAGAAGTAATAGAAAATCCTTATCTGTTATTATAGAGAAGTAATAGAAAATTTGTTACCATAAATCTCTGAACTGTTGCTCCAAATATAGTATAGTCAAAGGAATCTCTAAAACATTGTTTACAAGCTTCACCCATGCTTAATCTGGCAATTCTTCATCCATGATTGATCTGATAATGTTTTTATAAACAGTTGATCAAATGCACTTTTGCAATGAAAAACTACTTTTCAAAACTACTTATTGTTAAATAAAAATTATCAAGTGTAAAATAAACATAAACAGTATTTTTAAATCAAATAAAATTATCAAGTGTAAAATAAACATAAACAGTATTTTTAAATCAAATAAAATTTAATTATGTTTTATGAAAAAATTTAACTTAAAGCACAAAACGTTTTCTTTATTGAGTGATTAAAATGTCTCTTACATTAATTACAACATAAAATATTTCTAAAAAAATTCAAACTAACAGTACCAAAATCAGTTTATTAAAATGCTGAATATATGGAAATAACAGTTTTTTGTACATAAAATGCATAACATTTCTTAACTAGGCCAGGCTTCAGTGTCTCAAGTTGTTCCATTTATAATTTCAATGGAGGTGCACCTTACCTACGCTTTAAAAAATGTTGGCGGAATTTAATGATTTTTCAGACTCAAATCTAACTAAAACATTTCAACAGTTTTAAGATCCAAATTAAAATTTTGGTAAATATTAGAATTTTTCTTTTAAAAAAAAACTTTGATTAAAGTAGGGATGTATCAGAAAATCCCGTCCAGAATATGTGATTTTCAGGTAATTCCAATTCCGGCCAGAATTATAATATTTCCCATCGGAATGCTAGAATTTATTTTTTACTTTATTTATTTAAGACATGTGACACAGACTGGGTAAATTAAATAAAAAGTTCATAGCCCTACAGGGTAAAGAAGAACTATGGGAAAACCTAGTTAAAAAATACAAAATTCTTAACAAATACAATGTAATTTTAGGTAAAGCTACAATTTAGTGCTCTAAAATTGTTTTATTTTTTTGCTTGTTGCACTCTCATTAGTGAATAGTTTGTAATCATTTGAAATTTTAACTAAAATAATAAAAGAAAAAAGATGCTGCTCTATGCCAAAAAGTTATCAAAGTAGACGCAGGCTATAAGATAGTCAATGTAGCAATACTCTCTTGTAGCAGCAGGCTATAAGATAATGGATTTAGTAGCACTCCTTTGTAGCAGCACTTCCTTGTAGCAGCAGGTTATAAGATAGTCGATGCATGTACTAAAGCCAATAAATATTCTTTATGTTTATATTAAAGTCACCACTTTGAGCAAGTCTCCACACAAAAGTGCAACAAGCAATAAAATAAAAATTATTTAAAACCACATATCTGTAGCTTTGCCTAATTTGCATTTATTTGCAGTAATCACTTATGTGAAGATATCTAAAAGTTTAGAAATATTGTATCGCAAAAAGAGTTGCTATCCAATTTTAGGCAACAACCAAGCTCTTTTTTCATCAAAAATATATATATATGTATATATATATATATATATATTATAGGTTATAAATATATATTATGTAGCCACGATGCTGAGGTGCAGGTTTTCACTTTCAATCATGAAGGTAAAAAACTACATAAATATAAATCTCGTTCCTGCCAGAATTCCGGCCGGAATTTTTTCTACAATTCTGGCAAATCCGGTTCCGGCCGAAATTCAAATTTTCCAATCCGGTACACCTTTAGATTAAAGAATTTTTAATGATAACTTTTATATAAGGTTTTAAAAATATTACAAAGATTTTGTATTTTAGTAACAAGTAACTTGTACATATTAGTAGTTGAAATTATTTTTTTGGCAAAATAAGAATTTTATACTTATTTAAAAATTTTATTTTAGCTATTGAGGTGAAATGAAATTTTCTGAGCATCTAGGTGCTCATCTAACCCCAGAATGGAGAAGTCAATATGTGCAATATGAGGTATGTTTTAAGTTTTTTAACTTTGCAATATGAATGAAGAAGTTTTAACTAAACAATTAAAACTTTCTCTGTATTGCAAAGCGTGTATTGTTATTAAATTTTCATCACCTAATAAACTATTAACTTTGTTTAGTTTGTTTTTATTGTGAAAGTATATAAAAAACTGATGGTTTTGCTAATATATTTTGTTTATATATACATTTTTGCTTATATAAAAAAAAAAAAAAATTCATAATTTGATAATTTAAAAGTATTAACACAATCAGGGGTGTGATTTTCCTATTTATAATTTGGGACAATTTATGATACAGTAATTATATAAATTATTTTATTATAAATTATTGTTTATTTTTTGTAAGATATTATGTTACTTAATGTCCTGTAAAATGGGTCATAATAAGTCTGTTTTTGTGGTTGTTTTGAGTTGGTTTTTAGTTGGCAATTTAAAAATGTAGATGTTCAAAGCTTCAGCTATATAGATTATCTAGTAAAATCAGTAATAACAGCAGGCATAACATGAAGAAGACATCCAACCAATTTCTAAATTAAAAAAAAATGAATATATTTTATCTAAAATTTCTTAACTGTTATTTTACATTTCATTTATAATAAATTTTTAGTTATAAAAGTTTATTATAAATATTTTTATTATATTAATATATATTGTTATTATTTTATTGTTATATTTTATTATTTTAATATATATATATATATATATATATATATTGTTTTAGTTATTTCTAGTTTCATGATCTAGCTGATTAGGCTAGTTTCATGAACTGTACATGATTAGGCTAGTTTCATGAGCTGCACATAATTTGACTAGTTTCATGAGCTGTACATGATTAGGCTAGTTTCATGAACTGTACATGATTAGGCTAGTTTCATGAGCTGTACATGATTAGGCTAGTTTCATGAACTGTACATGATTAGGCTAGTTTCATGAGCTGTACATGATTAAGCTAGTTTCATGAGCTGCACATAATTTGACTAGTTTCATGAGCTGTACATGATTAGGCTAGTTTCATGAAGTGTACATGATTAGGCTAGTTTCATGAGCTGTACATGATTAGGCTAGTTTCATGAGCTGTACATGATTAGGCTAGTTTCATGAGCTGCACATAATTTGACTAGTTTCATGAGCTGTACATGATTAGGCTAGTTTCATGAGCTGCACATAATTTGACTAGTTTCATGAGCTGTACATGATTAGGCTAGTTTCATGAGCTGCACATAATTTGACTAGTTTCATGAGCTGTTCATGATTAGGCTAGTTTCATGAGCTGCACATAATTTGACTAGTTTCATGAGCTGTACATGATTAGGCTAGTTTCATGAGCTGCACATGATTAGGCTAGGTTTTTTTTTTTTTTTTTTTTTTTTCTAACATCTTCGCTTCCAACAAGGTTGCAAGCAACCACTAATTAGTGTTGGAAGTTACTGGAAGAGAAAAGACAAAGATTGTAGAGCAAGAGAACGATTGACAGACGACTTAAAAGGTCGCAAATCATAGGAATCAGCAAAGCAAGATGAAGGAAGCAAATTTCAAAGAACCGATGTTTGAGGGAAAAAACTAGAGGAATAAGATTTTTTAGAACACTTAGAAACAGTCACAGAAAAAGGATGAGATTTAATTGAATGATGAGTAACACATGAATGAATGATAGTAGATGGCACAGTAGATGCTAGCTCATTAGAGCAGTGCCCATTATAGTATTTGTAGAAAAGAGAAAGAGAAGCAACATTTTGATGATGTGATAATGGTTGAAGGTTGGCTGCAAGAGCAGATCCCCCCCAGATACGGCAACAGTATTCCATATAAGGCCGGATTTGAGATTTGTAGACATAGAGAATAGAATCCAGAGTAAGAAAGTGTTGACCTCGATAAAGAGATGCAACTTTAGCAGATGATAATTTTGCAAATGATTTGATATATGGTTTCCATGAAAGATCAGAAGTAAGAGTTAATCCTAGAAGATGAAGGGTAGATGACTCATCGAGTACATTACCGTTCATAAATATAGGAAGGTCTAAATTATTGCGATATCATATTTATTATTATAATTGTACATGGTTAGACTAGTTTCATGAGCTGTACATGATTAGGCTAGTTTCATGAGCTGTACATGATTAGGCTAGTTTCATGAGCTGTACATGATTAGGCTAGTTTCATGAACTGCACATAATTTGACTAGTTTTATGAGCTGTACATGATTAGGCTAGGTTTTTTTAAACATCTTCGCTCCCAACAAGGCTGCGAGCAACCACTAATTAGTGTTAGAAGTTACTGGAAGAGAAAAGACGAAGATTGTAGAGCAAGATAACGATTGACAGATGACTTAAAAGATTGCAAATTATATGAATCAGGAAAGCAAGATGAAGGATTTTACATAATTAAGCTAGGTTCATAAGCTGTATATAATTCAACTAGTTTCATGAGCTGTACATGATAAGGCTAGTTTTATGAGATGTGCATGATTAGGCTAGTTTCATGAGCTGTACATAATTTAGCTAGTTTCATGAGCTGTACATAGTTTAGCTAGTTTTGTGATCTGTACATGACAAGAGATTATAATAACAATTGCTTTTGTAATTTTCATAAAAGTTTTTTTATGAATATGTCAAATGTATTTAATGTAATGTAAGTTGAAATTTTATTTTAAGTTATATATTAATTATATTTGTCCTAGAAAAATAGGAACTCTAGGTTTGAAAATATGGTAATATTTTTTTCATTAATTTTTTAAACCTGCTGATAAAATTTATCTTATGTTGAATTTAATTCTAAAATTATTGACAACATACAAAATATTTCCTAACCAATGCTTTCTATGTTGAACAAGAAAAATCTTTTAAAAATGCAATGAAACCATTTTTTATAGTAACAAAGTTACATATTTAAACTTGTTTAGTGTGCAGAAAATGCAGAGAGCCACCAGACCAACCTCACTTAGGTAATAATCAAAAACAAGTTTTACCCTTTTTGCGACAAATGTTTGGCTTATACCTCAACCAAGGTTTGCCTGATGACCATCCATGGTCACCTTTTTGAAAAGAAATTTTGAATTGATCTAGCCACTCATTCTTCATAAGAAAAAAATTTTATGTGGTTTTAAAACTTGATTTAAAAAATATTTGTATTTTAGATAACCTGGTAATTTTGGATAAAAAAAAGAATTAAACCAGCATAATTTATTTTTTAACTAAGCCGCGATTATTTTGTACAGATTTATTTGCTTTGAAAATACTGTGGTAACTAGTAACAGTGGTAAAAAACTATGTAATGAAAGCACTAACCTATGCACTGCATGCCAAAATATCTCCAGTACAAAATAAAGTTAAAATAAAAAAAGTCTTTTATTATATTTGTTAAATTCTTTTTTGATAGGAAAAAAAATGTAGTTAGCATGATAAATGATAAATGACCCAGAAATTTTAAAGAGTATCACCCAGGTTTTGCTGACTTTTATACAGTTGAGAGTACTTAGTAAAATAAGATTTCTTTGAAAATTTTAGCCTCTGGCTCCAAGAAGATCCTGAAATATGAAATCCTGAAATATTAACAGATGTTGGCCAGGCCCCTCTTGTCCCATTAGAATTGTAACATTTATTTAGAGGTTTCAAGTTGTATAACTTAAAAAATATTTGATGTTTTTACTATAAAATTTGTACCTGGCTATTTTCAGGGATGGTGAATCCAATGAAATGATCAGAAATGTAAAAAATAATTTCATAAGTAACTGTGTTTATCAATTTAAATAAATTTAGGCAATTTTCTATATACCTGATTTTGATGCCCAAGAAACCCATGTGGCCTTGATGATATCAAAAAAGAAAATTATTACACATTCTATATTCATTGATCTTTCAAAAAATATAAAGATTTTGATCTGCAAGTATATAGATTTCTATATATGGATAACAGGCCACAATCCCCACTTTTTTGTAGATGAGTGTTGCAATTGATTTTTCACTACCTGCCAGACTAGCTGGAGCTCTGAAACTTTTGGTATTTCTGTAGTGCCAATGAACATGCATGTTAAAGTTGTTTTTAGGGAAGACACTGGGGGAGGGGGGCTGGGTCATGAGTCAACTTTTTTGTAGTGGAATCTTGTGATTTTTTAATACTTTCCAGAAAAGCTGGAGCTCTGAAACTGTCCGCATTTGTGCAGTCCTGATGAACCTGTGTTAAAATTTTTCCAGTGCAGATGACAAGAGGGTCCATAAAGTCAGGGCACTAATTTTTTTCAAAGAAAAAATTTTTTTTTTTGCATTTTTAATAAAGATAATTTTGAAAATATTTTCTTCAAAAAAAAAACATTTTTTGTATAAATTTGTTCAATTAGGTCTTTGATCATTCTGTATTCAATGACCTTTCTTAATATGTTTTAAGAAAGTACATATGTTTATAAGATTTTTGATTTGCAAGTTTATGGATTAAAAACAGTCATCCATCTAAAATAATGATTTTATCAGAATTTTGCATTGTATAATTTTAACCTTTTTGAATTGAAAAGAAAACAGACAGAACATCATTGATCTGTCAGACAACAACAATTGAAGAATAAAAAATGGTGTTATAAGAGGCAATTGAAAAAAAGTTAACAGTTCATCCTACATTGCAAAATGTCAACCAAGATGTCTAAGGCTACAAAAAGAAAAGTTTGTTAAAGACTGTATTGTCTTTGACTGTATTGGTGATTTTGGTGATTTTGATTTTTCTACATTGCAAAATGTCATGCAAGATATCTAGGGCGACAAATGGAAAATTTGGCAAAAGACTGCTTATCATCTTAGTGGGTTATGCAGAAAACTACACGTTTGTGATTCGAGATGAAATTTAAAGTTACCATTGGTGCCAAAGTCAATGCATGTTACACCCTATTACCCTCTATTTATTAAATGAAAATGACCAGCCTTAAGAAAAATTGTTTTGCTTTATGTCAGAAGATAAAGAGCATGACATTGGTTTTGTGTATAAAGTTCAAACACAAATTGTT